CAAATTTATATGATGTGTTGCTAAAACCTTACCCTCTAATTAAGCAGCCTCATAACAATCACAGCCCTGCAGGTTGTGTGTTCTTGTTTGTTGTGCAGTGGGCTGTGGGCAGGGGCTGCTTTGGGCAGTGTTTGCTGTGGGCAGTGTTTGCTGTGGCCAGTGCTTGTTGTAGATGGTGTTTTGCTGTAGGCAGTGCTTTTTGTGCTGCTGTTTTGGTTTGGGTGCTGTTTTGTTTTGGGCAGTGTTTGGCCATGGGCAGTGTTTGCTGTGGGCAGTGTTTTTTGTGCTGCTGTGGGCAGTGTTTTGCTGTGGACACTGTTTTATTTTGGACACTGTTTTGCTGTGGGCAGTGTTTTGCTGTGGGCACTGTTTTATTTTGGACACTGTTTTATTTTGGGCGCTGTTTTGCCATGGGCAGCCCCTGCTGTGCTGCTGTGGGTCCCTGCAGGAGCAGCAGTGCTCAGCTGGCAGCTTGAGGCAAGGCAGATGATCCTAAATCCCCTGGGAAAGCTGCTGCTCTCACACAGCTTCTCTCTCTGTCCTTTGCAGTTGCTATTTTGACTGCCAAGATTCGCACGCTCGAGGAGCACCTCCAGAGGCACCCCAAGGTAACTCAGGGATCTCAGCCCACAGCTGCTCAGGTGGTTTTCTCAGTTTATAACAAAAGGAGTTTAATCTTGGGGATTATGGCTTTCCTAAGGAGGTTTATGAAATAGCTACAGCTGCTCCTTGGTGCCAGTGTGGGGAGCTGCTGGCTCAGGCACAGCTGGATTCTCGCCCACTCTGCTCTGTGTTCAGGTTTGTTACTGTAGTGGAGGAAACAGCTGAGCAGATTCCTTTGGGCAGACTTGAGCTCCATTTCTCCTCACTGCAGATGTGGCTTCACCCCTTAGTTTTGACTAATTGATGATTGCAGCTGCAGTAATAAACAAAGAGCAAAATCTGTGCTTGTTCTGCTCATGGAAATGTTTGGTGGACAGCACTGTGTGAATGTCCCACTCCCCTGCCTGCAGCTACCTGGGTTCAGGCCCAAATTTGAGACAACTTGCCTGAATTTATGTTCATAAAAGAGACATCAAGGATTCTTTATGCAGGGCAAAAGGTGGGAAATGGATTGATAACTGCATTTGAAAGAAGTGCATAATTGTTACTCATGAAAACTTGAAGGATACAAGAGAACAGAACTGAGCTTTTTACTACAAGCCACCAGAAGCTGTACCAAGTGTTGAAGTTGGACCTTTTGGAATTCCTTGGCCGAATTTTTTACATAAATCACTTGTATAGGGCAGGGAGATGTCTCCTGTGAGGGATTGCCCTGACTGGTGTGGCTCAGGCTGTGCTTGTGCCCTTCCAAAGAACAGCCAGACAGTCAGAGCCAAGTCACAGATTATTTTCATATTTAATTTCTGGCAAAACAAAGGTAAATGCTTCTGTTATTCTGAAGCAGCACACTTAAAGAGAAGCAGGTTTTACCCAGAAGACCTTCCCTGCAGCTTTGGCACAGCCTGAAACTGTGCACAAGCTGGAAACAGTCTTCAGGGAAGGTGAAGGTGCAACCATGGAAGGGAGAAAGCAATTGCAGTGCAAAGTAAATTACATCTCCTTGGATCAGCTTGTGCTGACCTGATGTACTCCCAGCATCTGCCAACAGAAATTGTTCTAAGACTCTGTCCTTAACCTTATCATTGCATTTCAGCCAAAAGCTGCTCTGTTCTCAGTAATTTACTAGACAGGCAGGATGATCTGCTGTGGCAGTCACATTTTCTGGAAAAATCCCTTCAGCCCAGGATTTTTCTCCTGGGAAGCTGAGAGGCCTCAGAGAAAAAGGAAAACAATAACTATCTGATTTGTTTCTCCTGTGTTTTGCTCATTTGGAATGTGTTTGGAGATTGTTTCACTGGCTTCTGCTGTTGTTTTCACTCATTGGCCAATCAGTGCCAAGCTGTGTCAGGAACTCTGGAGAGAGTCACGAGTTTTCATTATTATCTTTTTAACCTGTAAGTATCCTTTCTGTATTCTTTAGTATAGTACTCTTTAATATAGTATCACAAAATAATAAATTAGCCTTCTGAGATCATGGACTCAGATTCATTATTGTGGGATTTGCTGGGTCCCCAGGATGAAGGAGGAATTGAGAATCTGACTTTATGTTTTTAGAAGGCTAATGTAATATTATATTATATTATATTATATTATCTATACTTAAGAATAGAGAAAGGATACAGACAGAAGGCTTAACAAGAATGATAATGAAAATTCGTGACTCTTTCCAGAGTCCCATCACAGCTGGACAGTGATTGGTTACTAAGTAAAAACAATTCACATGAAACTAATCAAATATACACCTGATAGTAAACAATCTCTAGACCACATTCCAAAGCAGCAAAACAGGCAGAAGCAAATGAGATAATACTGTTTTTCTTTTCTCTGAGGCTTCTCAGCTTCCCAGGAGAAAAACTCTTGGCGAAGGGATTTTTCAGAAAATATGACAGTAACACATCATTCCTTCCTGCATCTGGGGGGAATGAAATACAATAATCTGCCTGTAGTGGAGTGAACCTTGGGTGCTTTGCAGGACAAAAGCAACCGCAGGCTCATGCTGATGGGTCTGGACAGGAGGAGGAAGATGCTGGGCTACCTGCGCCGGGTCAACTACAGCACCTTTGAGAACACCTGCAAGGAGCTGGGCATCCAGTACAGCCCCCCCCAGCCCTACACCCGCCGCATCACCAAGCGCTGGATGGTCAAGAAGGCTTTGTGCATCAAGGTATGGAGCAGGGAAAAACCCCTCTGTGAAATGTGGGAAATGGGTTTTGTGGCATTCACGTTTGCTGGAGAAATCCCTTTGGGTCAAGAAGGCTTTGTGCATCAAGGTATGGAGCAGGGAAAAACCCCTCTGTGAAATGTGGGAAATGGGTTTTGTGGCATTCACGTTTGCTGGAGAAATCCCTTCGGTCAAGAAGGCTTTGTGCATCAAGGTATGGAGCAGGCTGCACAGGGAAAAACCCCTGTAAAGATGTGGTCTCAGAAGTCTTTTCCAGCCTGAAAGATTCAGTGATTGACTGGGTGGCTGTAACAGAATAATCTCAGATGGTTTCCTGGAGCAAGGAAGGCACAGAAGGAGGATTTGATCTGGCTCCTGCTGGAGCCACTTTGCCTGCAGCAGACACCCTGGGCAGCAGCTCTGCAGGCAGCTTTATTTCTCTCCCTTCTGCTTCCCCAGGTGTTCCAGGAGAAGCGGAAGCTGCAAGCAGCTGAGAGACTGAAGAAGAGGAGAGAGTGGCAGGCGAGAGCAAGAGCTGCACGGGAACAGCAGGAGAAGCAGGTGCAGGAGAAGCAGGCACAGGAGGGGACGCCTGTGTAGTGGCACAGCCAGGCTGACAATAAACTCCTGCCCAAAGACCTGAAACCTCTTTGCTCATGTGGTGTGGGCACCTGGGAAGGGCAGCTGGTGGTTTGAGTGGTTTAGAAGTTTAATTTCAGGCCAGTGCTGGGCAGGTTGGTCTGTGAGAGGACCTTGGGGGCTCCAGCATTACCCTGCAGGTCTGTCAGTGGGAACAGCTCAAGGGCTGCCTGTGCCCTGTCAGCACAGCCAGTCCAGAGGTTTGCACTGCCACATCTTCTTAGATATTTATAAACTGAAACTTAAGACATTTAAATTGGACATTATGAATAAATTCTTCCCTATGAGGGTGGGGAGACCCTGGATCCCTGGGAAGTGTCCAAGGCCAGGTTGGACAGGGCTTGGAGCAACCTGGGGTAGTGGAAGGTGTCCCTGCCATGGCAGGGGTGGCACTGAGTGGGCTTTAAGGTCCTTTCCAACCCAAACCATTCCTCAGTGTGCTGGGGCTGTGCTTGTGCACTGGGATAATCCACACAGGGACTGGGATGATGGCACAGGGACAGGGACGATGCACACACGGACCGGGGATGATGCACACACGGGATGGGACAATGCACACACTCACACCGGGACGATGCACACACGGATCAGGATGATGCACACACAGATTGGGACGATGCACACACTCAGATCAGGATGAAGCACACATGGATCAGGACAATGCACACATGGATCACGATGATGTGCGTGCTCACACTGGGACAATGCACACTCAGACGGGTACGATGTGCACACGGATCACGAGGATGCACACACAGATCAGGATGATGCACACTCAGATCAGGACGATGCACACTCAGATCGGGATGATGCACACTCAGATCACGATGATGCACACTCAGATCTGGATGATGCACACTCAGATCAGGATGATGCACACTCAGATCACGATGATGCACACACAGAGCAGGATGAAGCACACTCAGATCGGGATGATGCGCACTCAGATCAGGATGATGCACACTCAGATCGGGATGATGCACACTCAGATAGGGATGAAGCACACTCAGATCACGATGATGCACACTCAGATCACGATGATGCACACACAGAGCGGGATGATGCACACTCAGATTGGGATGAAGCACACTCAGATCGGGATGATGCGCACTCAGATAGGGATGAAGCACACTCAGATCACGATGATGCACACTCAGATCACGATGCACACACAGATCACGATGATGCACACTCAGATCAGGATGATGCACACTCAGATCGGGATGATGCACACTCAGATAGGGATGAAGCACACTCAGATCACGATGATGCACACTCAGATCAGGATGATGCACACTCAGATCGGGATGATGCACACTCAGATCAGGATGATGCACACTCAGATAGGGATCATGCACACTCAGATCGGGATGATGTACACTCAGATCAGGATGATGCACACTCAGATCACGATGATGCACACAGATCAGGATGATGCACACTCAGACCGGACGATGCTCACTCACTCCGGGGCGATGCGCAGGCGCGCCCCGCCCGGCCAAGACGGCGCTCCCCGATTGGCCCCGCGGCTGCCCGGCAACGGCGGCGGCGGCGGTGCGGGGAGCGGGGCCGGGCCGGGCCGGGCTGTGCCGGGGCCATGTCGGCGCGGACGCTGCCGCTGCTGTTCCTGAACCTGGGCGGGGAGATGCTCTACATCCTGGACCAGCGGCTGCGCGCCCAGAGCATCCCCGGAGAGAAGGCGCGCAAAGGTGAGCGGTGCGCGGCTCCCTCCGCTCCCGGTGTGGCGGAGCCGCTGCCGGTGTCCCCGGGCACGGCCCTGCCCCCGCTGCCGGTGTCCCGGTGCCATCAGTGCTGCTGCCGGTGTCCCCGGGCACGGCTCTGCCCCCGCTCCCGCCTCCCCCAGGGCGGCTCGGGCTGCTCCGCCCGGCGGTGCCGCTTCCCGGGATGCCACAGAATCACAGTGAGCCAGGTTGGAAAATACCTTTAATATCACCCAGCCCAACCCATGCCCTAACACCTCCATCAGCTAAACCCCGGCACCGAGTGCCACCTCGAGTCTGTTTTTAAGCTCCTCCAGGGATGGTGATTTCACCTCCTCCCTGGGCAGACAATTCCATTCCCCGATCGCTTTTTCAGCAAATAATTTTTTTTTCTAATTTCTAACCTAAACTTCCCTTGGCGCAGCTTGAGGCTGTGTCCTCTCCTTCTGTCAGCTGTGGCACAGGGACACACACAGGGACACGCTGTGCTGTCACCAGAGGATGCTGCGGGCTCACGGCGCCAGTTTCCCTGCCCCGATTTCAGTAATTACCGCAGTAATTATCACAGAAATCAGCCCTCAGCGCTTTGTGCTCTGCGCTGGGCAGCACAGCCCGTTGGGTTGAGCTCGGTGAAGTTCCTCAAGTTCCTTCCCAGCCCCGAGGGTGTTGCTGAGGTTGGTTCGGGAGGTTCTCACCCAAAAGGAGAAAGTGGAGTTTGTGTTGGTGTTTCTGTGCTCAATTCGGGGGTTAAAGCTTCAGAAATGAACTTTTGGACTCAAAATAACCCAGGATAACAGCGCCTGGACTGTTTGGGGCAGAGCAGGATGCTTTGCAATGGGAAGGAGTTTCCGGGAATAAAATTATAAATCTCATGCAGAGACAGCACATGCAATTGTGTGAAATTCAAATACCAGTACAGCTCCTGAAATCCTGGCTTTTATACAATCTCATTTGGCCAAAATCCTTGTACAAACAGAGCCTCGTGTCTTCACGTGGGCCATGAAACTCCAGCTCCCAGCCAAGCATCTTTGCATTTACCACTTCAGTTTAAATCTCTGCTTTACAAGTCCTTGCACCTCTCTGTCAGGGCATGGGGAATGTGCCTTGGGAAGCTCTGTGATGTTTTAATAAAAAATCATCTTGGTATGAGCTTGGTATTGTTATCCCTTCTGCCTGTCCTTTATGAAGTGCTAAACTACAAAGGGTTCACTGTGTAATCGTTGTGTTGTTTGTGAGGGGGGAAATTTGTAATTATTCATGTGTGTCCTGATGAGGGGATGATGTGACAGAGGTTTACTGCTGTTCATGCAGGGACAAGTTTAGGATTTTAGCTAAATTAAATCTTGGTGGAGTATCTCAGCAGGAGAATTGGGCTGTTTTAGTTTGTCCACACATGGATTTTTTTTTCTTCCAAAAAATTGTGTGTTAATTTCACTGAGATGTGGTTCATCCACACTGAGGTGTTTGTTGATGCTTAAAGCTGTTCACTCAAATGTTGGTTACTTCTAAGTGCAAAATACAGCTGAAAACTACCCAAGCTCATGCAAGGGGTAAAATTTGATGTGCACTGAAGCAGCAGAATTTTATCCAAGGGGAGGGTGAGGTTCTCATTCACTGCTGAATGCTGATGAGAAGAGGCAAAATCCATTAGTTAGCTTCTTTTTTTTATTTGAGTTTATTTCTTTCTATTTTCTTTTCTTCTCCTTGCAACTCTTGTTCTTACATCTTGAACTGCTGTTTTGTTTTGTATGCTTCGTGTAGATGAATGGACAGATGTGGACAGGAAACGAGGTACAGTAACTGCTGGCTGCATGCACACCTGGGGCTCATCGTGCCTGAACACCTGAGGCTGTTCCTGCAGCCTTCAGTCAGTGTCACAAATGAACAAATAATGCTCACCTGCTCCTCAAATTACTGTAAATCAGTGACAAAAATACCCCCAGACCGTACCTTAAAATCATATGGCCTCAAAAATCAGCTGTTCATTTAACCAAGAATGTAAATGGATCAAAGCTTTTTATCCTGGTGGTCTTGCCTGCAAAAATGGTGTTTGTGTTTCTTTACCACCGTTTTCATGCAAGCATGTAATTGTGTGAGCATTGTGCAGGTCGTTTTTCTGCTTAATTGCAGGAATATTGGGTATATTCCATTTTTTTAAGGTTTTATCTCATGCATTGCTCAGGGTTTGGACAGGTGAACTCCAGGGATGATCGAAGGCATTCCCATCCCAGCTGCTTTACCCACCTGTGCTGGTGGTCACACCTGGCAGAGCCATCCCAAAGGAGCAGAAGCCCTCAGCTCATCCTGGCTGGAGGATCCTGAGGGTGGGATTGAGCCCTTGGGTGTTTCCCTCTGGAATCTGCCCTGGAACAGGAGCCTGCAGCAGGGGAATGAGGAAATGAATCTCTTGAATCTCAGGTTTTTGTTCAAGTGAGCACGAGCAGAACTTACAGGGTCCTTCTGAGCAGCCCTTTTTTTTTTAGGAGGGATCAAGGCTGTGATTATCAAGGTTGTGATTGGTGTTTTGCAAAACAAGCATCATTTTGGTAGGTTTTAATATTTACTGAAGGTAAATGCTGATGTCCTGGGGTCTGCCCCAGCTTTTTTCTTACCATTACATCCTGTTTCCAAGCACACATCCAGGGACAGATTCCATCCCATCCCAAACCAGGAGGAGCTGCCCAGAGCTGCGAGGCAGGGGACAGGGCTGGCTCAGGGGCAGGTGCCAGGCTGACCCTTCCCTTCTCCTGTGGGAGAGAGCACTGTGCTCAGTGCTCCAGGGGATCTCAGGGGGGTTCTGGTGTCAGCCCCTGTCAGTGACAAGGTCCCTGAGGAGCCTGTGGCACTCAGGGTGACTGTCCAGAGCACAGAATGTTCCTTCTGCCGCGCCAAACATCCTCCACTGAGGCAGAGTGGAAATTTTCCAGGGTAGAAATCCATTTTAAATTAAGGTGAAATGTACATTTTTGAGCTGAGTCTGTGGTTAGAAAGCATAGCTCTGTAGCCTGACTGCAAAAGCCTAGGCTCAGAGAAACTGCTTCAGTGAAGGACAGAGATAAGGGGCAGGAGACAGAGGGTGATAGAGAGAGGCTGCTGTGAGAGCTGCTCAACCTGACCTAAGAATTCTTTCTGATAAAGAAGAACTAGCGGCAAATATCACACAAAATTTGTAAAAATGAATATGCATGAACCTACTGTGAAATTATATGCATATGTATTTGAGAAAGAGATAAAAAGAGACCTGAAGTTCCCAGAGGTACACGTGTCATTTTAGAAGAGCAATTCCCACATGCATCCAGCGCTGCAATAATAAACATAAACCAGCTTTACAACTTTCACAAAGGTTGTAGAGTTTTGATTATCTCTGCAAAACACCAGGAAGCACCAGCATCACCCAGGCCTAGCTCCAGCCTCCTGTCATGCATCCCAGCCGTGCCAGTGACACCAGTCTGTCACCAGAGACTTGGTGTGAGGAGGCCAAAGCCACCATCACCCCCAGCTTCAGTCCTGTCCATCACACTGGCTGCACTGGTTCCCCTCCTCTCATCCCAGTGATGACCTCCCCTCTCTGCTCAGTTGCTTTTTCTGTGTTGCTTGTGCCATGTCCCTGGGCCAATGCTCCTGTGTCACCTGCCATGGCCACTCCAGGGCCCCCCCTGAGACCTTTGCTGTGTCATTATCAAACATGTGAGAGATTTATTATCGATTTGCCCTTTACCATGATTGATTTTTTTTTTTTTTATGTCTTTCTCAGTTCTTTTTATAGCCCACACAAGAGGTTTTAATTTCAGAATATAATTTATGACTCTGGTTTTTCTGTTGAAAAATCAGTGTACTGGGAGGTGTCTGTCTCCTGCTGGTTTGGGTTGTTTGTGGCTCTCCAAAGACAGGAGAAGTCTTTCTGTGGGCAGCACACACAAGCAGCTTAAAAAATATTTTCCTTAATAGTAGAATAAAGCAGAAGTTCTTATTTTTGTCATAATTGATTCCCTGCAAAATTAACTAGATACTAATATCTACTAGTACTGATATATTTTATTTTCTCCATGAAAAATAGGGGATTTCTGCCTGAGATTGCAAGTAGGGATTGTTTTATGGCCAGTTTGTTTAAAAGGAAGGAGGGACTTTTTTTCCCCATTTGTAATTAGGTGTATTCTTAATCCAGACTGCTCAGGAGCTGAGGATCTGTCTGTGGTTTTAGGGTGTTTAAGCCAGGACCAGGGAGCCCTGTCAGGTTCAGCAGAGGGGCTGCTGAGCTGTGTGTGAGGAGCCTGGAACCAGCAGGGTTTAGGGAGAGGTTTGGGGCCACTTCAGGAGGCCTCTGCCCTTGGGAGCACAGCTCTCCCTGCCCTGGCTCCCAGCAGTCCCCAGGGAGTTTATCCTCTGGGGAGAGATGAAGTGACAGGGAAATTAGGAAATTACCTTTGTTTTGTCTGCTGGGGTAGGACAGGTGTAAAAAGCCAGGTGTCTGACCCCCCCAGGGAATCATTAAGGCAATAACTCAAACCATTGGTCACTACCACTCTCTGTATGTTCACTTTTTCTTCTTTTCTTTTTTTTTTTTTAATTTTTTATTATTTGCTCTGAGATTTTTCTAGTCCACAAGAATTGTCTGGCATTATGAGCTTTGTAACAGTTATCTGCTTAGGAAAATCCACACTTGTACAGTAATCTGTGACCTGATGTATTCATTTACCTTTTTTTCTTTTTTTTTTTTTTGATAGAGGAATAAATGTTTATTGATGATAACTCTTTAGAGTGTATCAGGGAGATAATAAAAGTGGCAGATCCAGCACAAAAGCTCAGGTGCTGCATCTGCTGGAAGCACTGCACAATGTTTTCCATCTTGTTTGCATTAGAAGCTCAATCACCAGAGCACAGCCCTCACACTCAGCACTCCTGAGCTCTAAGAACTCCTCAGTAATAAAACAGTTCCATGGCTAAATTTACACATTAAAAATTAACCACAAGTAAGGAAGTTTGGAGTCCTGCATTTGAAACTCTAGGGCCTGCAGATGTTTCATCTGTGAGAGCCCTGAGTGGGTTGATGTAGATCCCAGGGACATAAATGCTTTATTAAATACCTGCCAGTGTTAATCTGATTGGAATAAAGATTACAGAGAGCCCTGCAGGAGCTTCTGTTGAGAAGTTAAAAAATAGACTGGTGGTGTCAGAGGGTGTGGAGAAACAGGCACAGCAAAGATCTACCACAGTGCAAAACTCTCCTTAGGAAGCAGAACTGCAACTTTTTAAGATAATAACACATCAGAGCAGCCTACAAACAACATTATTTAAAAATTAAAACTGCCAACCATAGCTGTAAAACCAGGGCAGCAAAGCCACCCTTATTCCCACTGGCAAACAGGGCCTGCAGCCTTCAGCTCAGGTGGCATTTGTGCCCTGGGGGACATCAGGTGGCTGAGGCCAGGTGGGGCTGAGACAGAGCTGGAGGCAGAGGGGCTGCTCAGGTGAGACAGAGCTGGATGCAGAGGGGCTGATCAGGTGGGGCTGGATGCAGAGCAGGATGCAGAGGTGCTGCTCAGGTGAGGCAGAGCTGGATGCAGAGGGGCTGATCAGGGGGGGCTGAGACAGAGCTGGAGGCAGAGGGGCTGATCAGGTGGGGCTGGATGCAGAGGGGCTGCTCAGGTGAGGCAGAGCTGGATGCAGAGGGGCTGCTCAGGTGAGGCAGAGCAGGATGCAGAGGGGCTGCTCAGGTGAGGCAGAGCTGGATGCAGAGGTGCTGCTCAGGCTAAGGCAGAGCAGGATGCAGAGGGGCTGCTCAGGTGAGGCAAAGCTGGATGCAGAGGTGCTGCTCAGGTGAGGCAGAGCAGGATGCAGAGGGGCTGCTCAGGTGAGGCAGAGCAGGATGCAGAGGGGCTGCTCAGGTGGGGCTGAGGCAGAGCAGGAGGCAGAGGTGCTGCTCAGGTGAGGCAGAGCAGGATGCAGAGGTGCTGCTCAGGTGGGGCAGAGCTGGATGCAGAGGTGCTGCTCAGGTGAGGCAGAGCAGGATGCAGAGGGGCTGCTCAGGTGAGGCAGAGCAGGATGCAGAGGGGCTGCTCAGGTGAGGCAGAGCTGGATGCAGAGGGGCTGCTCAGGTGAGGCAGAGGGGCTGCTCAGGTGGGGCTGAGGCAGAGCAGGATGCAGAGGTGCTGCTCAGGTGAGGCAGAGCAGGATGCAGAGGGGCTGCTCAGGTGGGGCTGGATGCAGAGCAGGATGCAGAGGGGCTGCTCAGACTAAGGCAGAGCAGGATGCAGAGCAGGATGAGGCAGAGGGGCTGCTCAGGTGAGGCAGAGCTGGATGCAGAGGGGCTGCTCAGGCTAAGGCAGAGCAGGATGCAGAGGGGCTGCTCAGGCTAAGGCAGAGCAGGATGCAGAGGTGATGCAGAGGGGCTGCTCAGGTGAGGCAGAGCTGGATGCAGAGGTGCTGCTCAGGTGAGGCAGAGCTGGATGCAGAGGGGCTGCTCAGGCTAAGGCAGAGCAGGATGCAGAGCAGGATGAGGCAGAGGGGCTGCTCAGACTAAGGCAGAGCTGGATGCAGAGGTGCTGCTCCCCCTCTCCCGTTGTGCTCTGTCCCTGGTGTGCCCCTGGCATGGAGCAGGACCAGGCTGTTCTGGAGCAAACCACAGAGCCTAACTTTGTCTTTGCAGTTATGAACGACATCATCAGCACCATGTTCAACAGGAAATTCATGGAGGAGCTGTTCAAGCCCCAGGATCTGTACTCCAAGAAAGCGCTGCGCACCGTGTACGACCGCCTGGCCCACGCCTCCATCATGAGACTCAACCAGGCCAGCATGGACAAGGTAACACTCCTGCTCCCCAGCTGCCCTTCACCAGGTTCTGTCGCAATATTTAACCCGTGGCTTTTCCATTTTGAAGTATTTTGGAGCAGCTTTCCTTGTGAAAATGGTTCTCTGTCACTGTCATATTTTCTGAAAATCCCTTCGCCCAGGATTTTTCTCCTGGGAAGCTGAGAAGCCTCAGAGAAAAAAGAAAACAATTTCTCATCTCATTTGCTTCTCCTGTGTTGTGCTCAGATGTGGAATGTGGTTGGAGATTGTTTATCCACAGGTGATTGTTTCATTGGTTTCTGCTGTGAGTTGTTTTCACTCTTTGGCCAATCAGGGCCAAGCTGTGCATAGACTCTGGAAAGTCATGAGTTTTTATTATTATCTTTTTAACCTGTAAGTATCCTTTCTGTATTCTTTAGTATAGTTTAGTATAGTCTTCTTTAATATAATATAGTATCATAAAATAATAAATTAGCCTTCTGAGAACATGGCCCAGATTGATCATTTATCAGGGCACCTTGCAAATACAACAGTATTGCTCACTGAGCACTGGTGCCGTTGGAGACCTAGCAGGAAGGCTGGGGATGGGACTGCAGTGCTCTTGTTTTGTAAGAAATGAAACTAAAATGGTTCCTTGTGTCACAGGCAGGCGCTGGCCTGACTGAATCTCTCTCTCCATGCCCAGGAGGTTTCCAACCAACATTCCTGTGTTTCTTTGCAGCTCTACGACCTCATGACCATGGCCTTCAAATACCAAGTGCTGCTGTGCCCTCGGCCCAGGGACATTCTGCTGGTCACCTTCAACCACCTGGATGCCATCAAGGATTTCATCTCTGACTCCCCTGGCATTCTGAACCAGGTGGATGAGACCTTCCGGAGGCTGATCGAGGTAAGAATCCTCAGGAAAAGGGTGGGACACACTGTGGTTTGATTTTATGGGGTTTTTTACCTCTCAAGAGATTAATTACTGCATTGGAGAGGGCTGTGAGTCAAGTGGTATTCTTTTACTGGCCCAGTTTAAATCAATATGTTGCTTATTCAGCCTGATTTAAGTCTCCACTGATTTCAGTAGAAATTAAATCAGAATTTTAGTGGCAGACAATAATTATTGATAAAAACCAGCAGCCCCCTTAGAGCATCTCTGCTCCCCCTGCAAGTGGATCAGAATATTCAGCTTGTTCCCTCTTTCCCTGGATGGATCATGGCACCCCTGTAAACCCTTGCATGATGATTTTCCTTTTCCAGACCTACAACCCTCTCTCTGATGGTGAATTCCAGCTCATCAGGCAAACACTTCTCATTTTCTTCCAGGACATGCACATCAGGGTAAGAGCCCAAACCAACTAGGCAGGGAGAATGATGGAGTTTGGGGCTGGAATAGAAAGGGATCTGCTTATAAACACTGCAGGTTTGGGTTTGTTGTTTGTGCTTTTCAATGATCTTGATGTGCTTGTAATTGCACTCAAATTTCACAAATTAAGCACATATTCTATAATAATGCTGAATAATTCTACAATATTATGAAAAAAGGAATCTCTACTAGTGTGATTTGCTGATTGATAAATCTGGTTTTCCTTTCAGAAGAAACTTGATAGGAAACCTGAGCATGAACTCTTGATGTTCTCTAAACAAGCTGGTCACACTCACGTGCATGAACAGGATGTAGTTTTTAATATAATTTATTTAATGTTAGATCAGTGTGCCCATCTTCTGCACCACAATTCCACATCACTTTGTAAATACATCCCTCCACACAGATCAAGAGCTCTGGGAAACCTTCCCCAGCACAGGCAGAGAGGCTCAGGCTCAGATTTCAGGGAATTCGGACGGGAAGGTCTGCAGGGGATTTCCCCAGGCTGTGATGTTTGTGATGTCCTTTTGCAGGTCTCCATCTTCCTGAAGGATAAAGTGCAAAACTCCAACGGTCGCTTCGTGCTGCCAATCTCAGGGCCCGTCCCGTGGGGCACAGAGGTGCCAGGGCTCATCAGGTGAGCTGGTGCCATGTGTGGGGCACAGGGAGGAGCATCCCATGCCAGAGGGCTCAGAAATGTAGCTCAGACTGACAATCCTGGTGCATGGATAGCTGAAACTCCAGTATTAAGGGGCCTTTAAATTATTATTTTTTATATACATAATATAATATATTATATTAATTCTATATGTTTATATATTATTTATATTTAATACAATTTAAAGGGGAAGATTTTGGACTAAATCACCCAGCAATGAAATGCTGAGCTGCTTTTGGGAGTTTTCTATTATAATAAATTAGCTATTATTAATTTATCCCATAAAAGAGGCATTTAGCAATGTACAGAATTATTATTATTACACAGATTATTATTATACATAATATAATGTTTATTATTATTATTATTATTATTATTATTATTATTATTATTATTATTATTATTATTATTATTATTATTATACTACAAAATAGAGTTTTATTCCCCTCGTGCAGAAAGCAGAGGAATTAGGTACTAAAATCAGGACTGAAGCTACTAAATGTTTCAATAATGCCTCATTTTTAAGGATATTCAATCACAAAGGAGTGGAAGTTAAAAGGGCTGAGTTCACCACTGCTGGGAATTATGTTACTCCACAGAGGGAAGGATCTTTTGAGCTTTATGGAGACAGAGTCCTCAAACTTGGGACAAATATGTAAGTAATTTTTGTTCTGTGTAGAAACCTGAACCAAATGCTGATGGATTGGTCAGAAGCACATCTTCAGCCTGGTGTGGTTTTGGCCTCTTTTGCTATTAATTATCAGATTGACTTTGTTACAAGGTGCTGTCCTGTGTGGACAGTGTATAAAGAGCTGCAAAAAACAGGCAAAACTTTCATTTATGTCAGTGGAGCTGAGCAAGGAGTGTTATCACCTGGTGCTGCATCTCATGTGAAATGTGATTTAATGTTACCACAATCAAGAAATCCTCTCTGTTCTCCATGCTGGCCTTAATGTACATTTTCCATCCAAAGAGATCTGTGCTCCTTCTCACAGCTTTGTCCCTCACACACCTCACTGCCTCACCATTGCACCACACTGAGCTGCAACTTCTCATTGCAGTTGTTCAGTCTTCAGGGAAATATCCTAAAATTCTGCAGCCTGTGCTGCTCCCTCTGGTTCTGCACCTGGTCCCAGAACAAGCTGTTCTTGACGAGTGTTTTCCCTGCAGGTACAGTGTGACCCGGCCAGTGGAGACACACATGGCAGGATCTTCCAAAAACCTGGCATCCCAGGCAAAGGTCAGTGCTGTCCTCCTCCTGTCCCTGCCTAAACTGGCCAAATTCTGAGTCTATAGATACGGGATAAGGTCAGGGAAGCTTTTCTGGTGTTCTCAGAGCCTCATCCAATCCTCCCCAATCCTTTGAAGCCAGGGGAAGGGCACATTTTCCCAAAGAATCCACACACTGCTGCAAGGATATTCTTGCTTCCATTTTAATCTCCTCAGAAAACAGAAAGTTGGCTTTACAGATTTCTCATCTGTCCAGTTTAGCTGGAAAAGTATCTTGTGCTGAGTCTATAAATTCAAGCAACCATTTCCAGCCTGGAGCTGGTGATTACTGTGGTTATCTGCACAATCTGTCCCAGGAAAAACAGGGAAATAAATGTGTTTATATCCCTCTGAAGGACATGTATGGAATAGCAGGAATATATGAAGGACATATATGGAATATCAAAACTCCTTGCAGCCCAAATCTCCCAGGTAATTGCCCAACAAACCCATTGCTGTTTCCTGCAGGAGAACATAGCCCCCAACCCTCTTGCTAAAGAAGAGCTGAACTTTTTGGCCAGGCTGCTGGGAGGTTTGGACATCCAGAAACCTGCTGGTGGCGAGTCGGGATTTCGGCTGAACTTGTTCACCACTGACGAGGAGGAAGAGTATGCTGGAGTCCTTTTGGGTTTGGGGTGCCCTGTGGGGAGCCCTGGAGAGCAAAGCTGGCCCTCGAGAGCTTTGGGGTCAGAGCAGTGTGTTGTTATCCTGCTCCAGATGCCTCCTGTGATGAAGCTTTTCTCCCAGTGCCACTGGACAGAAATATCCCCCCAGCCATTTTAGCAGGACGTTTCTATCTGCTTGTTTCTGCTGCAGAAATATTCCTGCTGTTTCTGCACTTAGTAAAATATCTAGGACGGGGAGAATCCTCCAAACTGGGGTGAATACCTTATTTTGCCAAGTAGGAACAGAGGCATTGCCAAACTTCATGGAATTCCAGAATGGTTTGGGTTGGAAGGGACCTCTAATTCTACTCTGCCATGGGAAGGGATGCCTTCCAGTAGACCAGGCTGCTTCAACCCCCATCCAGTCTGGTCCTGTGAGCATCCTCTGAGCATCATTTGTGCCTACAGGAGCCTGATGAAGCCTGATTTTTATCATTTCCTTTTACATTTTCGTGGGATTAACCACTCTTTTCATGTTTTTAACCAAGACACGCTGCACAGACCAGACCAGAGGAGCTGTCCTACAAGGTTATCAACATTGAAGCCACACAGGTATGTAACATGTTTCACATCACTGGTTCTCACCATCCCTGCCTCACTAAGGCCTGTATTTCACCCAGAGCAGGGACTTAAAAATACATTTTCCCCCATTTCACTTAAGCTTGTAACAAAGTAATGCCCAATTTTCTGCCAAGACAGTGAAATTGGTGAATATTTACTAAGAAAATTTGAATCCTGACAAACACCAGAGCAAGTTTTTAGCCGAGTTGGGGTTGTAGAAGTCCCAGCCCAGCCCGGGCTGCGGGGGCAGCGCTGGGGGCTGAGCGCGGTCTGTGTGTGTGTCTGTGCCGCAGGAGCCGGCGCGGCGGGCGGAGCTGTCCCGCATCCTGGGCGAGCTGGACGTGGCCGAGCCGCGCCCGGGCAGCGCCGAGAAGGGCGAGGACCTGCTGGCACTGATGGACGGGCTCTGAGCGGGACATGGGGACAGCGGGGCAAGCGGGCACCGGCTCTTGGGGACATCGAGACACGCGGACAGCGGGACGCGCGGACAGCGGGACATTGTGACAAGCGGACACCGGGACACCCGGACATTGGGACAAGCGGACACCGGAACACGGGGACAACGGGACTTGGGGACATTGGGACACACGGGCAGCGCGCGTGGCCGCCCCGCCCCTTCCCGCCGTGGGCGGGGCGAGGGGCGGGGCCGCGCGTGCGCGAGGGGCGGGGCGGCGCGGGCGAGCGCGCGGGAAGGCGGCGGCGCGTGAGTGCGGGGGGGGCCCGGTGTGCGGGAGAGGGGGATGGGGACAGGGACAGCGGGGGGACCCGGGAGGGGGGGGTGAGGGCAGGGACAGGGCGAGAGGGACACGGAGCAGCCCAGCGGGCGGGGAGAGGGGAGGAACGTGTGCCAGGGGGGTGGGCGAGGAGAATGGGAGTGACTGGGGCGAGGGGTGCTATGGGAGCAGGGGAGTGTGCGGGTAAGTGTGAAAGGGGCCGTGTGTGAGCGGTGATGCGTGTGCAGGTGAGAGTGCGAGGGGCGATGTGTGTGCGTGCAGGTGAGCGTTTGAGGGATGGTACAGTGGGCAGGTGTGTGTGCAGGGACTGGTCCATGGGCCGGAGTTAGTCAATTTACAGGTGTGTGTGCGGGGTTTGGTCCATGTTCGGGTGTTTGTCCATGTTCAGGTGTTTGTCCATGTTCGGGTGTGTGTGCAGGGGTTGGTCCATGGGCAGGTGTGTGTGCAAGGGCTGGTCCGTGTTCAGGTGTGTGTTCAGGGGTTGGTCCATGTGCAGGGGCTGATCCATGTGCAGGTGTGTGGGCAGGATTTGGTCCATGGGCAGGTGTGTGTTCAGGGCCTGGTCCATATTCAGGTGTGTGTGCAGGGCTTGGCCCCTGGGAGGGGACTGCTCCATGTGAGGCACAGCGGGCAGGTGTCCCCAGCCCCTGTCCCCAGCCCCTGTCCCACCGCAGCCGCCATGGAGGTGAGCCACTCGGTGAAGGAGCGCACCATCGCCGAGAACAGCCTGGTGATCCTGCTGCAGGGCCTGCGCGGCCGCGTCACCACCGTGGAGCTGCGCGACGAGAGCGCGGCCGCGGGGCGCGTCACCAGCGTGGACGCCTTCATGAACGTGCGCCTGGCCGAGGTGACCTTCACGGACAGGCAGGGCGCCGTGTCCCGCCTGGACGAGCTCTTTGTGACCGGCAGGAACATCCGCTACGTGCACATTCCCGACGAGGTGGACATCCGGGCCACCATCGAGGAGCAGCTGCAGGCCATCCACAGGGTGCGCTACTTCGGGGGCCGCGACAAGGGACGCAGGGAGTTCCTCCCTGCCAAGCACAAGTGAGGGCCTGGCGCTGCCCACAGCAGCCAGGATGGACCTGGGTGGATGTGCCCCTCTGATGGACTGCCAGCTCTCGCTGTCCCACCCAGTGACATCCCCCAAGGAACGTTTTCCCCCAAGGACTTGGGGCTCTGCTGTTCCCCCCACCTGCAGAGGAGCAGGACTGGTTTTTGTAGTGAATAACATCATTTAAAGGCTCTGTGGTCTCTCTGCTGATTTCCTGTTCCATTGGCAACTACTCATGTCCCTCCTCCAATGGCCAAAGGACTCTTGGCCGGAGCTGCCATCCCACTGCCCCTGGATCAGCCTTTCTGTGCCCACTGAGTAAAGGACTTGCTGTCACCAGCATGGCCACCCTGGGAGCTGGAGCTGCTGGTGTTGAGCTGGGCAGGGGCTGGTTCTGGTCTGTGCTCATCATCCTGCTGAGCCACCATTCTGGAAGTGTTCAGCAAGATGAACGGAGTGAACATGCTGGGGAAGGGGCAGCACAGTCTGCCTCAAAAAGCAGGAACATGCTTCACCCAGGACACAGAATGCTGGCACTGCCAGCTCCTCTGCTTCCTCCATTACCAAAGTCTGCAGTCCACCATAGCTGGTTCCCACAGGGACCCCACAGGACAGCCGGGGACTGTGCCCTGGGGGTGCTCGTTTGCACAGGCCTGGGGCAGGGCAGCAGCGCAGGGCAGACCGGGGGGCCCAGCCTGGGGGGTTCCAACCCCACCAGTCTCAGCCTGGGGCTCAGAGCGCGGGGGTTCTGTGGTTCCAGTCCGGGGGTCCCAACCCAGGGTGCCCCAGTCCAGGAGACCCAACCCAGGGTGTCGCAGTCCAGGATGTCGCAGCCCGGGGGTCCAAACCCAGGGTGTTCCAACCCAGGGTGCCCCAATCCGGGGGTCCCGCTGCCGCCAGGCGGGGCTCTGTGGGCGTGGCCCGCGGAATCTGTGGGTGTGGCCGTCTCGACAGGCCCCGCCCCTTGGCCAATCACGGCTCGTTCGAATCTCCCGCGTGCTCACCAACCCTGCAGGCTCCTGGTCCCGGCCTGAACCAATCAGCGACAGGTTCATCGCACCACAGCCAATCAGCGTCCGCTGCTTGCTTCCCTCTCTGCTGCACGCTCCAACCAATCAGAGCCCGCCGCAAAACCCGGTCCGGCCCCCGGGCTCTCCTCCAATCACCGCTCGCGTTGTCGCCATCGCCCAATCAGCGCCGCCGTTTCCCCGTTCCGGCGGCGGCCGGCAGAGGGCGGGCTGGTCGCGGGGGGCGGTGGCGGTGCGTCACTTCCGGTGCCAGGCGGCCGCCGGAGCGGAGCGAGGCCGGGCCGGGCCGGGCCCGGGGCCATGGGTGAGTGAGGGATGGGAGAGAACAGGGGGAACCGGGCCGGGGCTGTGGGTGAGTGAGGGGTGAGAGAGAGCGGGAGAACCGGGCCGGGGTGAGTGAGAGGTGGGAGAGAACGGGAGAACCGGACCGGGGTGAGTGAGGGGCGGGAGAGAGCGGGGGAACCGGGACCGGGCCACGGGTGAGTGAGGGGTGAGACAGAGCGGGGGGAACCCGAACCGGGGCTGGGCCGTGACTGAGTGAGGAGGATGAGAGAGAGCGGAGGGAACCGGGACCGGGCCCATGGATATACGTGAGAGACGAGGGAGCTGGGGCTGTCGGTGAATGAGGGCGAAGCGTGGGTAGAGTGTGCGGGACATGGCCCCGGACCCGTCCCCATCCCGGTCCCACCGTGCGCTGGGCCGGGCCGGGTGCTGCGGGCAGACGCGCCGGTGGTACCGCTCGTCCGCCGGGCCGGGGGAGCCCCCCAGGTGCCTTGGCCGCCCGGCTCGGCTCGGTGCTGCCGGTGCTCTCCAGGCTGGGGGCTCGGTTTGAGCCCCGCAGCAGCTCGGGGGCATGACCGGGGGGCTGAAGAAGGCACAGCCCGTGACTGGGCTGGCTTTGCCTCCAGTCTGGGCAGGAACGTTTGAATTTAGACTTCTGGGACCTCTGTGCCGAGGAGGAGCCTCGTGTGCCTCAGCAGTGAGTAGGTGAGGGCTGTGCCTCTGAGTGAGGGTGAGTAACACCAGCAGGTGTTACTCGGAGCAGGGACGGACCCTGCCCTGCGCTCCCTGCAGCTCACCCGGGGCGCTGGGGAACCTCCCACCCCCAGAGCTGGGTGCTGTCCCTCTCTGGCTGTGGCCTTGGGAGCCCTGATGCTTGTGCAGTACTGAGGGTGTGAAAGGTCTCACTGCTGGGGGGACCTCATTGGGACATCATCTCCACTGCTTGCACAAGGGGTTTGGGGTTGTGCTCCCTCCTGCCCAGGCTGTGCTGAAATGTGCTGCAGCAGAGCTGGGGATTCAGTTCTTTGCTAGTTCAGAGCCTTAATGTGTGGGCTTAACATCTGCCGGTATGAACAGGTGTGCTGGGGGTGTGGGGCTGCAATCCCATGTCCAGAGGGAGCTGGAGAAGTCAGAGCAGAGGCCATTGCCTGATGTGGCGGGGCTGAGCCACCACCCCTCTGCCATGTGCTGTGGGACAGCTGGCTCCTCTGAGGCAGCAGGGGAGGCACCTGGCACCCAGGTGAGGTTGGACCTGGCACCCAGGTGAGGCGTGGCCCGAGGGACAGCAGGGGAGCACTCACCTGCTGGCATGGAGCCCTGGGCTGGCAGTACTCAGGATTCAGGACATATTTCCCCGTTGCTGGAGGGCTTGTGCTGCATCCATTGATTGTTTCTCTGTGCTATCCATGCTGAGGGTTTGATCTCATAATTGTGCTCCTTAAAAGCAAAGTTCAGCTGGGCTGTGACCCTCAGGATGTTTCAGAGCCTGGGATAGGCAAGGGAAGGCTGACAGGCACTGAGCTGGGCTGTGATTCAGCACAGAAAGGATATGGACCTGTTGGAGTGAGTCCAGAGGAAGCACGAACCTGATCAGAGGGCTGGAGCACTTCTGCTGTGAGAGACTTGGGGTTGTTCAGCCTGGAGAAGAGAACCTTCAGGGTGACATAACTGCCCTTTCCAGTACCTGAATGGGCTACAGGGAAGATGGACAGAGACTATTCACAAGAGCCTCAAGTGACAGGAAAAGGGGGAATGGCTTCACACTGAGAGAGGGCAGGGATGGATGGGATACTGGGGAGAAATTCTTCCCTGTGAGGGTGGGGAGGCCCTGGCAAAGGTTACCCAGAGAAGCTGTGGCTGCTTCATCCCTGGAAATGTTCCAGGCCAAGTTGGACAGGGCTTGGAGCAACCTGGGGTAGTGAAAAGTCTCTTTGCCCATGGCTGGAGGGTGGAAGGGTCTTTAAGGTCCCTCCCAACCCAATCTGTTCTGTGACTATGACTAGAGACAGCCCTGCGGATTTTGCCTGAGCTGCCCAGTGAGCTTGGGGGGTGTTACCTGTGCAGGGGCTCCAGGCAGGTGCAGTGTGTGTCTCCTTCCTGCCTGGGAGCTCTTGCTGGACAGAGTAGGCTCTGTCTGGCCATTTTCTGTGTGAAACAGGCTGGTTTGGGTAATATTTTTTTTGCAAGTGTGCAGTTCCTGTCAGTGTGTTGTCACACTGCAAACCCCAGCAGCGTAGGCCTGGCAGTGTGTGCAGGTAACTTCAACACGTTTGTCTCCAGGTAGGGCCAGGTGAGTCACTGCTGAAAGAAACTGCAGCCACACCTCGCTGGGAAGTGTCAGCACGTGTGTGGGTCACACTCTGTGCACACAGAGGTCCTGCTGCAGGGGCTTATGGCATATTGGTAGTATCAGAAGCAATCAATGAGAAATAAAACCTT